CTTTGCTCTCTTTCCAGACCTTCCCTGCCGCCAGACCAAGCCAGTCATGACAGGCTGGGAGACACAAGCACACACCAACCGGCGCCAGCCAACAGGCGTGCAACGGCACCATAACCTGCATCGTGTCCGGCCACGGCTTCACTTAACAGCGTGTGTGTGTGTAAGGAGGTACGTGGGTGATGCTGCGACACCTTGCAGGTCTAGAAGTTTGGTGTAGCCAGTTTGGTGTCGTGGTTAAGAGCGCAGACTCTAATCTGGGAAAACTGGGTTTGATTCCCCGCTCCTCTACTTGCACCTGGCTGGATGACCTTGAGCAAGCCATAGTTCTGATAAGAGCTGTTCTTGAAAAAGAGCCGTTTCTGTCAAGAGCTCTCTCAGCCCCACCTACCTCTCAGGGTGGCTGTTGTGGGGAGGGGAAGGGAAAGGAATTTGTGAGCCGCTCTGAGATGCCTTTGGGTAGTGAAGGGCGGGGTATAAATCCAATCTCTTCTTCTTCTTCTGCACTTACTACTTCCTGAATTCAGCTGGGCCGTGGCCACGCCCTTCCAAGCCACTGTCCATGTCCTGAGGCAGCATGGAAAGGCACCTGGCTGGATGACCCTGGGCAAGCCATACTGTGCGAGGTAGGCATGAAGGGAAAGCCAGTTTGGTGTAGTGGTTAAGTGCGCGGACTCTAATCTGGGAGAACCGGGTTTGATTCCCCGCTCCTCCATTTGCACCTGCTGGATGCCCTTGGGCAAGCCGTAGTTCTGATAAGAGCTGTTCTTGAAAAAGAGCCGTTTCTGTCAGAGCTCTCTCAGCCCTACCTACCTCACAGGGTGTCTGTTGTGGGGAGGGGAAGGGATAGGAGTTTGTGAGCCGCTCTGAGACACCTTTGGGTAGTGAAGGGCGGGGGATAAATCCAATCTCTCTCTCCTCTCTCTAGAAGTTGCAACTTTCTCAGTCTACGCTTCACAACACACAGGGGGCCACGGCTGACACCACCATCAGAAGCCGAATGATTTCCAGTGGTGGGAGGGAGGGTCTATCCACACACTGCATGGCCCTTCACAAAAGGGGGGGGGGAGAGGAATTATGCAAAAATGTGAGATTATGCACAAATGGTCTTCCTTCGCCCCGGTTCTGTCACTTAATTCTGGTTTTGTTGTTGCAGTCCTTGGGCTCTTTTGTCCATGACCCAGGAACGATGCTCCCTCTAAGCTGTGGAGCCTTGTGAGCAAAAATTCCACTTTGTGAGCTACTGGCATTAAGGTCATGAGTGAGTGATTTGGCTACTGCATAAATTAGTTTGCTCTGGAGCCATCCTCCCTGAGCGGAGACAAAGATCTGTGAGCCGGAGGCTAAAATACTGTGCGCTAGCTCACACTAACTCAGCTTAGAAGGAACACTGCTCAGGAAGGAAGGATGGAATGAGGGGCCCAAGGAGGCCAGCCCGGTGATCGTTCTTGGGCAGTGGACGGCCCAGGAGAGCACCCGTCATGGCACCCCAACGGCACAAGTGGCAATGCTACGCGAAGAGGAGTGGGCGGGGGGGAGGGGGGCTGGGACAGCAGGGGTTGTAGAGTGAGACAACACTGGTCATTTTCAAAAGGGCAAAGGGTCACTTCCAAAGTCCTGAAGCTTTTTTAAAAAAGGGAAAGAGGGGTGGACGGAGCAAGAGCCACAACCTCTTAGCAGGCGAGAGAAAGGGGAACTGGAAGCAGGAAATGGAACCCTCCCTGTGCCAACCTCCCCCTCTCTGCATGAGCTTCCCCAGGACAGGCCAGCATGGGGTGAATGAGGGAGGGTTCTTGGCAAGGGGGGGCCCCTCCCAAAAGCCCCCAAACCCTTGCACGCCTCCCCGCCGCGCTGCTGCAAACTGCTCCAGGTGGACAATCTGCACTCGTTTATTTGCTGGAACCAACATGGGGGCGGAGGGAGGCCATCGCCCTGAAATGAAACATCTTGTTTTCAAGAGTGTCCTGGGAGCTAAACGGAATGAGCTGCCATTAATCAAAGCCCAGCTCAGCACCATCCGCCGGCCCATGCCCTGGCGTGGACCGGCACGCTAGAGGGAAGGAGGGACCGAGGCTCTCTCTCGGCAAGCTCGCCCGGAGCCAAAGGTGAGAGCTCTCCGCTTGCCCGAGCCAGGTCTGGCTGTCAGAAACGTTTAAAGGTGGAAAAGAACCAAACAGCCCACCGCTGCGGTGGTTGGGGGTTTTTTTGCGGGGAGGGAAGGCCGCAATGTCCGAAGGCCCCTCGTGATGTAATGGGAAACACTCTGCCTGTGCCACCGGCTTGAAAAGAAACAGAACCGGGAGGGTTAAAGGAACTGAACTCTCCACGACCCTGATCCGCTCCAGAGGCAAATAATAAGAGGAACCATCCCCTTGCCCCGTGGCCCGGAGTTTATCCTTGGGGCCAGGCTACAGAGACAAGCGCCGGATGCGACAGGGCAGCTCGCAGGCATGCTGCCCAAGGGGGCCCAGCTGGGCCCGAGGCTCTGTTCTCACCCCCCTGGCAGCTCCCCTACGTAGCGCGTGCTCCAGCTGGACCTGCCCTGTCCAGGAAGGAGCTGGGGACGGGAATAGGGAACACTCTCCTTCCCGCGCAGAGCCTCTTGCCGTGAGAGTGGGCAGGCTGTCACCAGTGTTCCCTCTGAGCTGAGTCAGCGTGAGCTAGCTCACCGTTTTTTTAGGCCTCCGGCTCGCGCGTTTTTGCCCTCGCTCAGGAAGGAGGGCTCCAGAGCAAACGAATTTATGCAGCGGCCAAATCGCTCGCTCACAACTTTAATGCCAGGGGCTCACAAAGGACAGTCCTTGCTCACAGGACTCTGGAGCTTAGAGGGAGCATGGGCTGTCACGTGCCCACTATGCCACTGGAAGGAAAGGGCAGCGGAAGCTTCTCTGACAAGAAAGGGCAGGCGTTTTACACCCAGGGCACCAAGTGCAAACACATGATCCTGCTTCTCTTCACAAATCAAAAGGTCATCTTTCTCTTGCAGCTTGTGGGCAAAAGGGGGGGGAGCACTCTCAATAACCACACGCTTGCCGAAGAGCAGCACAGCACAAATTGCGGGTGCTCTTCTGCAGGCGGCCCGAACTGGGAAGCGACCCAGCCGAGATGGAACGCAGGGAGGGATGTGCCAGAGAGCACCCGTGGCCGGCCTTGCCCGTGCCAATCATGGGCTGACTGCTCCTAGGAGAACTGCTGACCAGGGGGCCCCCCATACGGAGCACTGCCAATGGCATGGGTGGCCACAGGGAAACTGGATGCTGCGGGGCTGTTCCTACGGCCCCAACAGAGCCCACCTAGGCACGATCACCTCCTCTCCTGCCAGTGAGACTGGCGGAAGGCCACTGAGATCAAGGCCTTTCTGGACCGGCCAGGATACGCTGGAGAACTTGCACCCTCCTCACAGGCACAGCCTGGAGAGAAAGGAGCCTGGAGTGCGGGGTGGGGGTGTGTGTTCCTGCTGAAACTCACCTATGGGCAGTGTTCCCTCTAAGCTGCGTTAGCGTGAGCTAGCTCAGTTTTTTAGCCTCCGGCTCACACATTCTTGTCTTCGCTCAGGAAGGGCGGCTCCAGAGCAAACTACTTTGTGCAAGCAGCCAGATCGCTCGCTCACAACTTTAATGCCAGGGGCTCACAAAGCAGAATTTTTTGCTCACAGGACCCCACAAGCTTAGAAGGAGTACTGAACATGGGGCATGCGGGCAGGAGCAGATGTGGACCTGGCCAGGTCTGCCGGCTCGTGGGACTCCGATCGTGGCAGACCTCGGCCTGCCCGGGGCCTTCTCACACGGAGCAGTGATTA